CCTCCAGCAATCCTAGAGCAGGGGGCCCTGACTGTTAGAAGGGAAACTAAGAACTAGAGATAAATAACTTCATCAGCAACAAAAAGGGCATCCAGTCAGAGACCCCATCTGAAAGCTACCAATCACAAAGACCACAGTTAGATAAATTCACAAAGATGGGAAGAAACCAGTGCAAAAAAAGGATGAAAATGCACAAAACCAGAACGTGTCCCCTCCTCTAAGGGATCACAACTCCTCACCAGCAAGGGAACAAGGATGGATGGAGACAGAGTCTGATGAATTAACAGAAACAGGCTTCAGAAAGTGGGTAATAACAAACTTCTCTGAGCTAAAAGATCATGTTCTAACCCAATGCAAAGAAACTGAGAACCTTGAAAAAAGGTTTGACGAAATGCTAACAAGAATAAACAGCTGAGAGGGGAATATAAATGAATTGATGGAGCTGAAAAACACAACACAAGAACTTCGCAAAGCATACGCAAGTTTCAACAGCTGAATTGACCAAGCAAAAGAAAGGATATCAGAGGTCAAAGATCAACTCAAGGATATAAACCGAGAAGGCAAGATTAGAGAAAAAAAGAGTAAAAAGAAATGAACAAAGCCTCCAAGAAATATGGGATTATGTGAAAAGACCTAATCTACGTTTGATAGGTGTACCTGAATGTGACGGAGAGAATGAATCCAAGCTGGAAAGCACTCTACGGGATATTATCCAGGAGAACTTCCCAACCTAGCAAGGCAGGCCAACATTCAAGTCCAGGAAATACAGAGAACACTGCAGAGATATTCCTCAAGAAGAGCAACCCCAAGGCACATAATCGTCAGATTCATCAGGACACATGAGGTTGCCATGGGATTGCCGCATGACTTCCACTCACATTCCTCTGTCATATTTTCCCAATTGTTCTCAAACACATCTTTCAGAGAATATATGTATATATTCATATATATACACATACATATTTCAAATCGCTTTGCACAGGACTATGTTACAAAATGGGAGATAATTAAAAACATGAAAAATCAAGGTGTCTATTTTCTGAGTTATTCTGATTGAGTTGAGGTATGCTATGTTTCTGTATAAGTTTAAAGTGGTTTGAATGGTAGGATTGAACAGAGTGTACGAGAACTTTGGTTCAGAAAATAATGTCACTATGAACTAAAATAATCAGGTATAGTCTAAGTAACGATTGGACTAAAATGAGTTTTAATCAGGATTTTCCTCCGTTAACAAGATGAAAATGCACAGGAAGAATATTCTAGGAAGAGAAAAAAGACAACATGAACAGAGAGACCATGAGCATGGGTGCCATCATCCAGCCCTGCAAACACTGGAAGGTTGTGGGAAAGGGAAAGGAGTAATTCATGCTCTTTTCACTTTTTGTTTGAATCTCCATCATGTCTTTTAGTTCATTCTTTTTTTCTTTTATTTATATCTTTTTTTCTTCAGAGGTAGGGTCTCACTCTGTCACCTAGGCTGGCATGCAGTGGCATGATCATGGCTCACTGTAGCCTCAAACTCCTGGACTCAAGTGATCCTCCTGCCTCAGCCTCCCAAGTAGCTGGAACTACAGGCTACTCCCAGTCACTGCTCATTGCTAATATTTAATTTTTGTTGTTGTTGTTGTTGTTGTTAATGTTATAGAGATGGAGCCTCACGATGTTGCCCAGGCTGGTCTCAAGCTCCTAGCCTCAAGCAGTTCTCCCACCTCAACCTCCCAAACTGGTAGGATTAAAGGTGTGAGGCACTGTGTATGGTCATTTATTTCTCATCTTGCTTTTCTGCTTACTCAAGGCATCAAATGGGACCTTACTAATAAAATATACCTTTCTGAATTTCCCTAAAGTGAGAAGGTATTTCTCTTTCATTTCATCTTACCTGTAGTGCAAACAGTCTAAAATTTGGGGATCGATTCTAATCTAGGCCTTTCTGCCTCTGGGATGTGTGGCCTTGTGGGTATATTTTACCTCTTGGAATCTCACTTAATTCATCTGTAAATGGGGATTAATATTTTCCTTGGAGCCCTAGAAGGACTGAACACATTCATGTTACAACTGTGTTCAGTAGACTGTGTTCAAAATTTGCCACTAACACCAAGTTTTCTACTTCTCTTGTGAGATTTATTTATTTATAAATTTATTGCTGGAGGCCATTCTACTCCTACAACCTCTCTTCAGTTTTTTCTTCCAAGTCTTACTTATCTCTGTTTCTTTGGCAGGGAATCTGCTACATACATGATAGATGGTCATATGATGCTTAATGAATAAACAAATGAATGGAGTAGGACCATCCTGAACTCTTGTTTCCATGGAGAAGATCTGAGAGAAGATTGCCTGTTGCTGCATTTCTTTATGGGTCCCAGTTACCCATTAGTCTTTTTTTTTTTTTAATCTGTAAGATCACATTAGGCCTCTGATTACCATTTCTGCTATAATGTTGCAAAAATGGCTTCCAGGATTGGCTGGGAGAAAATAACAGAACTTGCCTTTGAGTTCCATGAACAAAAAAGCTCTGAACAGATTCTAACAGTGTTTTATGACATTATTTCTTCCATTGTATACTGTTTTCTGTATCCTTGCTAATATGTTTTGGTTAAAAAAGTCTCAAAAGAGTAGTGAGAAGAGAAAAATAAAATCATCCTAGAGCCTGTCTCTTATAGAACATGAGACAGAGCAGTGGGAGGGGAGGAAGATAATCAGATATGAAATAAAGCAATTTGGACAAAGGACAATAAGGGAGAATAAAAAGAAAATGAAAGAACATTACAGTAGTAGGGATAAAGGAGAAATTTGTGGAAAATATTTCTTTGTCAATTCTAAGACTCTCAGGCCCCTGAGGGAGGTTCTGAAATCTTTTTGCCTGAATGTTAAGATGAGAGGACCTAGTTTTATTCCTGGCTAGAAGGCTTGATAGGATTTTTAGGGTTGTACGGCACTGTATGTTCAAATGATGCAACCACCAGCAGTGACATGGTCTGCTCTGAATCACCACCTGCTAGGCACCTAAGCTGTGCTTGCTTGCCTCCAATGGTGTGGAGCTTGCTATACACACAGCAGAGGCCCATTTTGTACTTGCTCTTCCCTATACAGAACTGCAATCTGTTTCTCTGTCATTTCTACTTGCCAGAATCCTATGCAAATACCAATGCTTACTATTGAGTAACCTTGGGAACATGATATAATCAAAGTCAATTTTCTCACTCTAAGACTGGGATAATAGTATCTAGTTCATTCAGTTTGGGTAAGAAATAAATGAAAACAATCCAAGTCAAACAATGAGCACCCCCAGGTTCTTACATGTTTTTTCTTCCGTAGATTACCATTTTCTCACCAATATGAAAGTCTTTTTGTTAATCTACCATCCTTCCAAAATTCTTCTCAGTTTTCAGATTTCATCAGAATTATTTGGTGACCATTCCCCTGCACCTCTCATCTAATCTTTGCATCACCTATACATGGAACTCACAGAGTTACAAGAATGCCAAAGGATGACACATTCACCTGATGTGTTGTTTCAGGTTCCTTGCTATTAAGTTAAAAGTCTAAGGGCTGCTTTTCCCTTGCCATCCAGGTCCACATCCACTGAAGCGCTAAGATCATTTGGATAAGTTACCAGTGATTCCAGGGAAACATATAGAGTGAGATCTAGCTGCTCAAAAGCCTAAGTTTGTACTTTGTCTAGTTATTTTATTTGCATACTTTTAATCTTATTTTGTGTTAGAAAAGTAATACACAATTACTGAAGAAAAATGAGAAAATAAAGATGAACAAAATATCCAACCGATATAAAATAACCATTTATAGTTGTTTTAGAACTATTGCTTATTTTCCTCCAGAATTTTTTTCTATTTGATATACAAATAGAAAATATGTGTTTTATAACTTGAGATTACATTAAACAAACATGAATAAATCTTCTGTTTGACTCAACCATATATTTTGCAAGTATTTTGAAGTTCAATGTCACCATTGTCTATTGTTGGGCAACTAGGATTATGATTTTTAAATTTTATACACAATATCATGGTGAACATTCTTGTACATATATCTCTCTGCACTTCCATGACTATTACCTTAGAGTAAATGTCTTCACGTGGGACTGGTGGGTCTAAACGTATATATGTGGGGATTTTTATGTCTATTAATTCATACTGACAAATTGACACCAAGAAAGGACATATCTACACAGTGTATAAATGCACTTATTTTCTCATATATTCTATTATTGTGTATTACCAAATAAGAGGAACTTAAAAACATGCCTCGCTCAATAAATGTAAACTACTGTGGTTACTGTCATTATGATTCTATTATTGTTGTTTTCTTGATGCTGTCATTATCTTCCATTTCTTCTCAGTGAGTATCCTGTGATTTAATTGAAATGGATTATTTGCTTTTTCTTGGAAGTATTCCACATGTCAAATTTCTGCATCTTGCTCATGGTGTTTTCTCTGATTAGAATGTCTGTCTCTTCCTCATCTGTCATTATTCTATCCATCCTTCAAAGTCTGTATTACATAAATATCCTTCATTAAGCTTTTTGAAATTTTCCCCTGAAGACATCAACTGCATAATCTATGTCTTCATCTTTTGAACCCCTAATCACATTTGGGATATCCCTTTTTGAATTACAGGCATTTGTATTCTTGTTTGAGGATGTAACTATTAGAGTGTAACTTGTTTCTTTGTCTTTGAGAAATGTGTGCTTCATAGCTGCATCACCTATAGTGCCTAGCATCATGTAGTAGGTGTTAAATAAGTGTCAAACTGAAGGCACCAGATATGAATGAAGTATGTAGTCTTAAGCATCTTTACAAAGAACCAGTTGTTTACTAAAAAGAAATTAATTCATAGGCAAATAATCACAAAAGGAGTTTACTATTCCTTTTTGCAATATACTGCCCTCAGATACTTTCAGTAAGGCACAGGCACACTTAATAACTGTACTTGAGGTGGCCTTTTTAGAAACTTACATCCCAGGAGACAAATTTTTGCTTCATTGGCTTCCCCAGGGCTCACAAATCTGACCTTTTTATTGGCCTACTTTTTATTGGCCACAAGATGTTTGAATGATCAGAGATGATTTTGTTACACAGAGGTCAGCAAAAATGGCCTTTGATAACAATAAAAATCCCTTGCATTTTCATAGACACATTGAGTCCATAAAGTTATTTCACAAATGTTATTGTACAATTTCCAAGGCCAACTGAAGAGGCTTAAAATTCTGTGGCTAGAAATTTAAAAAAGATTAACAAAGTTCTCCATTTCTTTTGGTATGTCAGATAGCACTGAGCAAAGTGTTCTCAGTAAATGAGGTTGTCCACCCACCAGGACCTAGAAACCACAGAATGGTATCTCAGAAAAATACTATGATTACACTGATTTAAGCACTAACCCTGAACCCTAGGTTTGTACTCATTTCTCCTCTTCCAGCTGAGACAAAAGCTTAAGAGTGTGACTAAGAACTTGTCAGACAACTTCAATATCTAATGACTTATAGTGATTCCTGATAGCCAGAGATGGGGATCATGACAAATCCAGCCTGAAGATATGCTTTTTCAGGTTAATCTCCCAGGCGGAAGTTGTTTTTGTTGAAGTAGCTGACACGCTGGGATTTCTGAAAAACCTGAAAGAAACATAAGGGATTTATAGATAGAAGCTTGGATCTAGACGGCACCTAAACTCTAGTTCCAGTCCTATTATTTGATGATTTGCCATTTTCAGGCAGTCCCGCTAGGCTCTGTCTCAGCTTGAGAGATGATTGCCATCAAATCAATACCTCATACTGCAGTGTTTCAGGCTGCATTCTCTAGAGTGGGGGTGGAAGGTATCTGGGGGTGTTTACTCAGCCCCAGGGAAAAGACGGAGATCTGGAGAAGATGAGTGTGATTTGCAGAGCCAGGAAGCCTTGCAGCCCAGCAGTATTAGACAAAACCTTTATTTCTCTTCATATTGAGATGTTTTCTCTGTGGATTATATAATTATGAGGGAATGAATGAAATACCCAGCATAATATGTCTTCTGTTTCTCCACAACTCAGGTAGACCCACTTGAAGAAAATGTAATGAAAGGAAACTTCAAGTATATTAGTGATGTTTTATTTCTTATGCCAAAGGATAAGTGTACAGTTTTCTTTGTATTTTATTTTATACCTTTTGCTCTATTTTAAATGTTACATGACAAAACAGTTTTTAAAGGAAGAAAAGAGAAAAATATAGGGTTCTGCATATTTGGTTAATAAACAGTTGATTTGTGATTCTACAATACTTTTCCTTTACACAGAAGTTCTGTTTCTGGTGATATGGAACTAGCATGGGGTGGTAAGGGAAGTAAAATTGGGGAAAAGTCACTCTACCTGGAGTTCACATTCATCAGGGGTCAGAGACTTAGTCATTTGAGATTATGTGTGACTAAGGTTATCCAACAGTCACAGGCATACCGTGTCAAGATCAAAAGGGAGGCTCATCTTTCAATTTTGTGGTAGTGTCCCAGCACTGAACCACATAGCCTGGAGTATACTGTGAATTGTTAATGTAAAAATTATACATATTCATATGCACATGAATACTTAAAATTATACATTGGCATTTCTTATATTTTACATAAGAAGAATCTCCAAACATTGGAGGAGCCTGCACTTTCTCTGACTGGAAAGGAGTCCTATTGAGGAGCCGCTACAGTGCAGAGAAAGATGGTGAACTCCAAGTTCAGAGAATAAGGTTCTAGTCTCAGATTCACAGCAAATGGGCCATTGAACTCAGGGCTTAGAGCATTCTTAACTTTTCAAAATAATCAAATGTGCTGAAATGTGTGACTGTGGTAAAGTGAGACTACTTAAAGGCCGTAAGCATAGATCGCATGTTTTATGAGAGTGACATACTGCTGCTATTCTACGATGGCAGGCCCTTGTATATCTTAATGTTGGTTACAGTTTCATTGAGTCCTTCCTTTGTTCATAAGCTCTTTACCTATATTTTCTCATTTAATCTTTCCAACATCCTATGTAATAGCCACTATGATTATATCTATTTTACTGATGAGGATATTGAGGCTTTGGAGAGTTAAGTAACTTGTCCAGGTTCTGTTATTATTACTTTTCTGAACAGGTATTTGAGCTCAGGACTTTCTAATCTCAAAGTCTATGTGTTCAAACCATTTGTCATGCTACAGTCATGATGGGCAGTCAGAAAGCTCTCACTGATCAATTTCTTGACTGTGGCATAGAAATATAGGACTCCAGCCAGGCCCAAATAGAGCCGGAGACTTCTACAACCCCCTAGGTATTTTAGCACTACTCGCTTCTATGAAAATGCATTCACATTAAAGTAGAAGTGAATGGACATTTACTAATATGATCCTTAAACCGTTTGCCAAAAATCTAGCCTTTTTGGCAAAAAATCTAGCCTTGGCCTGAAGTACAAGGAGAGAAGAGAAGTTCTGGCTGTAGTACAATTTGGAGAACAATTTTATAATGTTTCTCTTAAGATTGCTGAAATATATTTCAATTTAGCAATAAACAATAAGAAGAGAGAAAATGAAGACATTCCAATAATCTGATAAATGCTGTTAAAGAATGCATTGGGATGTTTAATTCCTAACTAAATGTCAACTTTTAAATTTCAAATGTCCTTGAATGGGATGACTAATGAAGTTAGTTGATGGGAAGGCAAATGTAACAGAATGGTTACATATCTGGGCTGTGGAATTGTACCACTCTGGGTATTAATTCTGCTGTCTCATAAATGGGGATTGATACAGAAAGAAGATGAATAAAACAATTCAAGCTATCCAGTAAGCCAAAGCACTTGCCCTCGCCATGAATAGATATGTGCCATATGTATCTATCAAAATTTTCACAAATGCATGTAACAGAAAATCCAATTCAAACTCAATTGAAGAAAAAAAAAAAAAAAGATTGGTTCAGCTTTAAGCATCGTGAGCTAGCTCCAAGCTGAAAATTTTTTCATCAGGATCCAGCAAACTGCCTTTATCTCTTGGCTTCCTTTTGTTCTTTGTTAGCTCCATTCTTAAATGATTGTCCTAATGGGTCATCAGGATGGTTCCAAATGACTTCAGTCTTAGATTCAGTCTTAAGTTCAGAATTGGAATGCCTTATTTTTTAGTTTTTCAAGGTACATCACTAGGGCTAACTGATAATTGTCTTGGTCTCCATTAAATCCCTATTTCTCAACCAGTCACTGGAGTAAGGAGGATAGGGTGTTTTAGAAGCCAGGACTGTGCCTCATTCCTTGCAAAATCATGTCATGCTAGTATGGGGAAAATTATTTCCTAGAACCAATTAGAGTACTTTTACGTAAGATGGGGTTGTTAAATTGTAGGCAGGCAAAAACAACAGAATTTTATAGATACATTTTTTTAAAGATCTATGCACTACTGGATACAAATAAGGTGCATTTCCTCACTGGGGAAGAATATGCATTCTTCCAAAAAAGAGGCTTGCCAGCCACCTGACGATGGGTCTGCTGCTTTCCAGGCTGTTCTGAGCTCTGCTTTAGCTGCTGATTTGAAAAGTCCCCTCTTGCATAAAAATTACACCTGGCACACTCACTTGGGAGCATGCAAGAGAATTTTCTTCATCCTTTCTTAAAGATGCAATTGTTTCTGACAGCCAGTGTCATCTGTGGTGACAGATGTCACTTCTGACTCTCATTCACCGCGGACAACTGAGCTCAAGGAGACCGACACGCTCTGATGATGGTTTTAACTCTTACCTGGAAAAACCAAAGCACTGAAATATTTAGGTTTCTGGGATTCTTGTGGTAATATAAGTAGTAGGGTGAGGGTTCTTTGTGCAATAGCACACAACTCATGTACCTCCCTAGTCACCACTTATCATGTAGTCTTCAAATTATTTGTTCAAATACACTACAATGTAAACTCTAAGAGGAACAGATATTGGGTCTTCACCCTTTGTGACTAAAACAGTGCTGGGCACGTAGTAAAAGATAACTATGTAGTAGAAGATAGAGAAATATTTGTTGACTGAATATAGGAATTTTAAATGAAATTTAGCACTAATTTGGTGAGAGACACAGAGAGAGAGAGAGAGAGGATATGAACAAAGCCTGTTGTTCATATGGGAAATAGAGGCACAGTAGTTAGGGAATTTGTATAGATCCCAATAGGTAATTGATACCATGACTGAAATATAGATGTTTTAGCTGTATTTTTGAAATCTTTTAGGGAAATTACTCAGTTCTCTCAAATATTTCTTTTTAATAGTATTTTCCAATTCATTTACAGCCTAATTCATGTGATGTATACTCATTACATAATTACCGTTTTTCAGATATGTTTACATTCTCATTTTGATTTTGAAGCTCACAACAAGGAAGGTATTATCCCGATCTTCACCCTATACGAAAAGGTGAAGGTTCAGTGGATGATGTGACTTGTATATAACCAGGAAGAGAAAGGGTACACCAAAAATGAAACCAAGTTCTTCTGATCCCAAGTCTGATGTTTATCTCCACTGGGAAATGATGCCTTGTAGTCTATTGAGTATGTGGGCATCGGCTGCTCCCTTTAAGTCTCAGAGGCTCTTCTGTCTAGTGAACTTCATGACTGACATGCGTATTTACTGAGCTTTGTTGATGCATGCTTATAAATCAGTAACAGCCCAGCCCATTATTTTTCACAATTCTGACTGCTGTTGGAACTCATCTAGACTTTACTGTTGATTTCTCAGTAATTTTTTTCAGACATAAATTAATGAAACAGAATAGGAGGCTGAAAGATCACCATATGCACAGTTCTCTTTGAATCTTAAGATCTCTGAGTCACAATTTTTCAATGACTGAAAAATAGAAGAGGCATAACCTTTTATTTTGATCAGCTCATCAAAAATAAGAACAAGAGGAAAATAAATTTTGAGCACATGGAGCATCAGCTTTCTTTGTCTAAAATACCTAACTTGGAATATGTTCTGCTGATGGGTCAATGCCTGGGTGTCTGACTTCTTAACTGAGGTTATTAGTAAAGGTAATATTTTTAAATTCTCAGCTCCACCATTATGGTATACATATTTTCTTAAATATATATGCTTTAGAATTTTTAATCAAGGATGATAGAAATAATGCTGATAGTGTTATGAACAAATAAATATAATGCCTTGATGACTCCATTTAGTATTTTTCTTCTGATGATCTCAAAAAAGACTTCCATACTCCGTGTTATTTTTCATATACTTTGCTCATTTCCCAGGTAAGCAAATTGGGGCATGGAAAGTTTGAGAAATGTTTCAAAAGAAGATATTTAATTAATTCATTTAACTTTTATTTTAAGTTCAGGGGATACATATGCATGTTTATTATATAGGTAACCTCATGTTATTTGGGTTTGTTGTATAGATTATTTTGTCACCCAGGTATTAAGCCTAGCACCCATTAGTTCTTTTTCCTGATCATCTCCCTCCTTCCACCACCCTCCAGTAGGCCCTAGTGTGTGTTGTTCCCACTCCCTATGTGTCCATGTGCTCTCAGCATTTAGCTCCCACTTATAAGTGAGATCATGCTGTATTTGCCTTTCTGTTCCTGCATTAGTTTGCTAAAGAAAAAAGCCTCCAGCTTCATCCATATCCCCACAAAAGACACTATCTTATTCTTTTGTATGGCTGCATAGTATTCCATGGCTATCTTTATCACATTTTCTTTATTCAGTCCACCATTGATGGGTATCTATATTGATTTCATGTCTTTGCTATTGTGAATAGTGTGGCCATGAACATACACATGCATATATCTTTGATAGAATGATTTATATTCCTTTGGGTGTACACCCAGTAATCCCATTGCAAGCCTTGTAATCTTGAACTAGTAATGCCATTACTGGGTGTACACCCAAAGAAATATAAATCATTCTATCAAAGACATATGCATGCGTATGTTCATGGCCACACTATTCACAATAGCAAAGACATGAAATCAATCTAGATACCCATCAATGGGATCCCAGTAATGGGATTACTGGGTCAAATGGTATTTCTGTTTTTAAGTCTTTGAGGAATCACCACAATATTTTCCACAAGGGGAAATAATTTACATTCCTGCCAACAGTGTATAAGCATTCCTTTTTGCCTGTAACCTCACCTGCATCTCTTATTTTTTGACTTTTTAGAAATAGCCATTTTGTCTTTTGTAAGACAGTATCTCACTGTGATTTTGATTTCCATTTCAGTGATGTTGAGTTTTTAAAAATATGCTTATTGGCTGCATGTATGTCAAAAGAAGACATTTTAGATTCCAAGGCATGTCTCTGAATTCTTTATATTCTCTACTATACCACGCTGCTAGCTTTGGCTATGCATTTTTAGATATGAGAAATAGTCTTAAGTAAGACAATTCAAATAAAGTGAATAGGAAGCTGTCATAAGGATTTTTGTGAAGGTAATAAATGCAATAGGAAAGATTACATGTAATCTCCATGGATAAGATGCTTTATTTTATTTCCATGATGCAGAAGTTTTGTTTTCATTTAACATCATGAATGAAAATTTTAACATATATTTAAATAAATAATAAAAATAATGGTATGAATAAAAATAGCTACCATTTATCGACTACGTTCCATGTGCCAGTCATGATGCCAAGAACCTTACATAGATTAGTTTACCCTCCTGATAGTCCAGTGAAGCTAGTACATTTGTTATCTCATTATACAGGTGAGGAAAATGGCAATTTTAGCAAATTAAACGACTAGTTCAAGATTACAAGGCTAGCAGGTAAAGGAACTGAGATTATAGAACTACAGATATAAAACCCAGTGCCCTTAGTCACTACCAGTATTCAAAAACATGAACTGTTGGAGACAAGCTAGATCTGATGAGACACTTAGTAGCATCTCAGACCTTATTTCTTTTTTGGCCTTTCTTTCTCTCTCATGGACCACACACATGGTCTTCTTTTGCTTTCACTAATTTAATTCTCTTTTCTCACTCTTGACTTGCCTATTCCTTTCCTCTTCCCTGAATGTTTTCTCTTCAGACTATGACTTCTTCTTCCTTATGTACTCTGCTTCGTCATAACTTGGGACTGCCAAGTTATTAAGTATTACTGCCATTAAGTAATAATACTTTAAGTATTAAATAGATTTAAACAATTAAGTAGATTTAATTGTTCCTGTTGCCAATTATCTCATTTCTTATGAGTTCTAAATTTCAAAATATCTAGAGCAAAAATCCAGTTAGTCCAGCTCCATTTTGGGGGCCAGCCTGTGTTACTGAGTAGCCTGTATATGTATTGACTGCCTCTACATCCAGTGCCTAACCCTGGTCCACTTCGCTGGAGTTTAGATAGGACTAGGACTAGAGCTGATTCAATGCCTCTCTGGAGTTTGGGTTTTGTTTAGAATTGTTTAAATTAATTTCCCATAACATTTACATGTCTGTAAAACATCATCCTTAACCACTGGGATTTTTTTTCCCAATAGTTTTTAGGGCATAGGTGGTCTTTGGTTACATGGATGAATTCTTTAGTGGTTATTTCTGAGACTTTATTGCACTCATCACCCAAGCAGTGTACACTGTATCCAATATGTAGTTTGTTTGTTTGTTTTTGGCAGAGCTAGCTGAGGTTTTATTTGGGGGAAAAATGTTTTGTAGCTGGAGGCAGGTACAAGGGGGGTGCCCCAGGCAGTGGACTTCCCCGTGGGTGGGCTGAGGGCTAGGGCTGAGTCACAGATAGGTCTCCCATTCCCTGTGTTCACTCACCGGCTCTGGAGCAGCCGCAGGAGGGGCAGGCATGGCTCTTCACTTGAGCAGAATGTCAGAGGACTCGGACACAAGCTTCTCATTGCGGGTCTCTATCTTCTTCACAACCACGGCCCTGGTAGAGCTGGTGCGGCTGAAAGAGCTGGAGCCCACACCAGAGCCAAAGCTGGAGTCCAGGCTATAGCTTAGGCCGGGGCTTGTGAGGCCCCCACACCTGCGTAGGCACTGGTGGTCCTCGTATGGATACTCATGTTCTGCATCCCAGACTCCAGACGGCTCTCCTCGCCCTCCAGCAGCTTCCTGTAGGTGGCGCTCTCGGTGTGCAGAGCTAGGTCGGTGTTCATCAGCTCCTGGTACTCAACGCAGCTACCAGGCCATGTCCTGCTTGGCCCGCTGCAGGGCGGCCTCCAGATTGGACAGCTTGGTGTTGGCATTCTTAATGCCAGCTCCCTGTGCTGCTTGGCATCCGCGATGGCAGCCTCCAGGGAAGCCCTCTGGCCTTTGAGGCCCTCAATCTGAGCCTGGAGCCAGCTGATGTTCTAGTTCCTCTCAGAGATCTCAGTCACCACAGGTCATCCCCGTGCTTCCCAGCCTGCATCTGCAGCTCCTCACACTTGATCTGGTACATGGTGTCAGCCTCAGCCCGGCTGCGGTTGGCGATCTCCTCATACTGCGCCTGGATCTCAGCGATGATGCTGTCCATGTCCAGGAGCGGCTGTTGTCCATGGACAGCACCACAGACTTGTTGGAGATCGGGGACTGCAGCTCCTGGATCTCCTCTTCATACAGCTGCCTGAGGAAGTGGATCTCATCAGTCAGCCCTTCCAGGAGAGACTCCAGCTCCGCCTTGTTCATGTCAGCTTCATCCACATCCTTCTTGATGAGAACAAATTCATTCTCCATCTCTGTACGCTTATTGATCTCATCCTTGTCCTTGTTCTTGAAGTCCTCCACCAGACCCTGCATGTTGCCAAACTCCGCCTCCAGCTTCAGCTTCTCCTGGCCCAGAGTCTCCAGCTGCCACCTAAGGTTGTTGATGTAGCTCTGGAACATGTTGTCCATGTTGCTTCAAGTTGTCTTCTGCAGCTGCAGGAGGCTCCACTTGGTCTCCAGTATCTTGTTCTGCTGCTCTAGGAACCGCACCTTGTCGATGAAGGAGGCAAACTTGTTGTGACAGTCTTGATCTGCTCCTTCTCCTGGGTGCACATGGCCTGGATGTTGGGGTCCACCTGCAGCTTAAGGGGGCTCAGAAGGCTCTGGTTGACCATGATGGCAGTGATGCCTCCCATGCCTCTGGCCCCATCACAGCCTCCACCCAGGCCACCCCAGAAGCTGCTGCTACCCACTCAGGAGAACCTCAAGGAGCTGATGTAGGAGCAGCTGCTGAAGCCCCGGCAGCCAGAGATGGACACCTTCTAGGACTTCTGGGTCGCCCTGATGGACATGGTGGAGGCAGGAGTGGAGGCAGGTGGGCTGAACCAGGCGGAGATTCCAAAAGGAGCAGAGAAGCTGCTGGTTCAATGTGTAGCCTTTTATCCCTCACCCACCTCCCACCCTTCCCCCTTAAGTCCTAGAAGTCCATTGTTTCATTCTTCAGCCTTTGCAACCTTATAGCTTACCTCTGACTTAGAACATTTATTTAGTTTTTTATTCCCGAGTCACTTCACTTAGAATAATGACCTCCAGCTCCATCCAAGTTGCTGAAGAAGACATTATTTTATTTCTTTTTATGGCCGAGTAGTATTTCATGGTGTATATACATTTCTTATATACATGGTGTATATAACATTTTCTTGGCCAATGGGCACTTAGGTTGGTTTCACATTTTGCAATTGTGAATTGTGCGCTATAAACCTGTGTGTGCATGTGTCTTTTTCATATAATGACAGGAGTGGGATTGTGAATTGCATGGTAGTTCTACTTTTAGTTCGTTAAGGAATCTCCATGCTGTTTTCCACAGTGGCTGTACTAGTTCACATTCCCACCAGCAGTGTAAAAGTCTTCCCTTTTCAACAAATCCACACCAGCATCTATCGTTTTTTCACTTTTTAATTATGGCCATTCTTACAGGAGTAAGGTTTTTATCTCATGATGTTAATTTGCATTTCCCTATCATTAGTGGTGTTGAACATTTTTTCATATGTTTGTTAGCTGTTTACATATCTTATTTTGAAAATTTCCTATTCATTTCTTTGCCCACTTTTTGATAGAATTATCTGTCCTTTTCTTGCTGATTTGTTTGAGTTACCTGTGGATCCTGAATATTAGTCTTTTGTCAGATGCATAGTTTGTGAATATTTTCTCCCACTCTGGGGTTGTCTGTTTACTCTGCTGATTATTTCTTTTGCTGTGCGGAAGCTTTTTAGTTTAATTAGGTCCCATCTATTTATTTTTGTTTTTGTTGCATTTGCAGTCTTAATCACGAATTCTTTGCCTAAGTCATTGTCTAGAAGAGTTTTTCCAATGTTATCTTCTAGAATTTTTATGGTTTCTGGTCCTAGATTTAAGTCTTTTATGCATCTTGAGTTGATTTTTGTATAAGGTGAGAGATGAGGATCCAGTTTCATTCTTCTACATGTGGCTTGCTCAGCTGGAACTTTTTAAGTTGTATATGATAATACATATAATATATATATATTATATATATATAATTTTCACCTTAGCCATATATATATATGTAGAAATATAGCCTAAACTCAGGTAAGAATGTTGTCAGGGTTGTGAGGTACAGATCCTACATAAAGATGCCAAGATAGACTCTCTCTCTCTCTCTCTCTCTCTCTCTCTCTCTCTCTCTCTCTATATATATATATATATATATATATATACACACACACATACATATATATACATGTATTTTCCAACTCTATTTTATACATATATATGTGCATATATATACATACATACATGTATATATACACACACATATATGTATATATATGTGCATATATATACATACATACATGTATATATATGCACACATATATGTATATATATGTGCATATATATACATACATGTATATACACACACATATATATGTGTGTATATATATACATACATGTATATATATATACACACACATATATATGTATAAAATAGAGTTGGAAAATAAAAAGAAACGTTTATGTTTGATTAAAGCATAAACCTTATGGAATTTCTTTGGGTCCTTCTGCCCCACATTCACCCTTTAAGCACCACTGAAGGTTGGAGAGCCAACTTGTTGAAAGCCTGAGATCACTCAGACGACTTTCTCCCAGCTCTCCTGCCCTGCCTTCATTCATCGGAATAACACCCTCAAGCACCCAGAAAAAGCCTCTGGGAAGGAACTGGAGAATGGGTGCCAAGTGTCTCCGTGTTTGAGGCTTTTTAGGATTATAATCTCTCATGATGCTTGTATACAGATATTAAAAAATTTATTAAAAGTTGGGGTAGTTTGTTTGCATTTTGCTAGATTTTTCTTCCTGCCCCAATTCTTACCAGGGTTGAAGTAACTTTTTTCCTGTTAGAAGGTCTTACCACTTTCTGGAATTTAGCTTTTTAGGTTTCCTTGCACCCTCAGCCTTCTATAGCTTATCCAATGTATCCTTCTTAGGGTAGAAATCATGGTCTTCTAGGCCCTAATCCGAAGATGTCCATTCAGGTCATTTTGAATGATAGCTTCTAAATTCTAAAGTCACTGATAATCTGAATAAACTGTTAGGAACAATGTGAGCACGATATATTTGTATAATCAGAAATGGTATCATAACATCTCTTTTTTGCTTTTCGATAGTTGAATAATAGACTCAACAACATAGCAACTACTAGGAAAAAGAGGATGATGTAAGGTGAGATACCCACACTTGCTTAAGGCAATCCTAATCAAGACCCAGCATGGCTGAGTCATAGTTTTGTCCTTGTTGGGTTTTGGCTGCTTTATTTTGTTATGATTGTTGTTTCTATTGTAAGTATTATTTTGTTTGAGGAAAATAAAATGTCTTCTTTATATGACAGTTGTTAAGATGGTTACTTTGGCTTTTAGCAGATGCACAGGAGAAAAATCTAAGCTGCATTCCATGAGAAAGAGGGAATTTTGACCAAATATCAAGCAGTTAGGTCATGAGTGGAGTTAGCATTGCTGATGGGTCTCTACACTAGAGAGATAGTTATTTTGGATCTGCTGCTGCATTGTTGCATAGAGAAAAGAGAACAAAACACTTTATATCCCAGAAAAGTGGAAGACAGAGCTTTGACTGATATCTCAGCATTGAGGCACTGAATCTCTCTTTCTGACTCAAGAATTCATGCTACTGAGGATCCTAGGTCTTACTTAAGCTCCCAATATTCCTGCTGTATTAATTAAATCATCTACTTCACACAGACATAAAGAGATTCAACTTACTTTTTAGAAGTCTAAACTTTCTAGCACTTTCTCACATTTCTTAATGTTGGCCTTTTATAGGATGAACAATTCAGTCCCCAGAAAGTCTATTAAATCATCTACAAGTACAAATGAATGACATTTAGTGCAAGGTGAGTTTGCAGCAGAATTGATTTTTTTCTCAGCTAGCATCAGTGGAAATCTACTGAATCTCTACTGTGTTCATGAAAAACAGATCATGTTTGACAAATGTGGCTGAATATTTTTATATGTTTCCTCTATTGCCTGATAAGTAGGAATGAGGGAGGTGGAATTTATCTGAATATTTGTAAAGTACAAGACACCGAGCTCATTGGTGGAATGATTTGTGAAACTAGTAGTGCTTCCTTTCTTGGGAGAGTAGAAGTCATCTAGATCAGTGCTTAGAAATATAGGCTTTGGAGTCACTTACTGGGTTTAAGTCCTGATTGCACCTTTTATTTGGGCAAATTTCTATGCTCAAATTTTCTCAGAGTAATAGAGATATCTATTATTTATCTCTTGTTCTTTTGAATATGCACAGTGGTATTTGTATAGAATTTTACACAGTGCCTAGCACACAGTTGGTTCTTACTGAGTGGTAATTATTATAATAGGAGGAAATTAGAAGGCTTCAAGAAAACCCAGTAGCTAGTACAGTAATAACTCTCATGGACTTCCTTCAGTTGTTCACTCATTTTATTCTAGCCTGGAGGTGTTATTGGATATTTTCTGCGAGTACAATTAACTAGCAGAGAATTAGTTGCTCAAAATATGTTCAACTTTATAATGCATGATAAGATTAGTCTGAGTATCTTGTTTCATATTCTATTTAGGTCCTGCACAGTTCAATATTAAATACAGTTTCTACCCTAGTGTGAAAAGAGGAAGAGAGAAATTTGGTTCCAAGAGAAATTCAGCTCCAAAGTTCCCTGAATGTTAGAGTGAGACCATCTGGAATTCAAAATGTTGCTGTAGGTCACTGACAGCTGAATATAGGAAGGTGTAGGAAATGTAAGGCAAAGGTGGACATTATTTCTATGCCTAAATTTGAAGAACGTTGTCAGGATCATGAGTTACAGGTCCCACATAAAGATGCCAAACAGAGCACAAAAGGATAGTTATTAATATTGTATCTAATTATTTAACTATTTCCTTATCCCTTCCCATTACTAAGAAGGGAGGCAAGGGGCAGAAGTGTATAGTGGTTAAGATAAGCCAAAAGGTTGGAATCAGGTAGTCTGGGTTTGAATATCTATATTACCTCTTTATAGATGGTAGGCCTCACCTTCCCCAACTGAAATACTGTAGTAACAATTCTTACGTTACTGGGTTCTTGTGAGTTAAAAGAAGATAAGGTATGTAAAACATGATGCTCAATATAGCCTAACTTTTTTTTTAATTCGTAAAAGAAGCTCAGTCTTATATATCCCCCTTCTTAAGGCTGACAGTGCATGAAGAACTGGATGTCAGGTGAGGTGATTCTGGGCCATAAACCACATTTTCACAGAAGGCTTCATTCGTTTTACTACTTTCAACTATATACTCACAGTGGTTATTACCTGGGGTCTGCAAAGAAGAATAGAAAAGGTGATGAGGTGGCATTTCTTACTTTATTTTCTGAACTCAGACTAAGTATCTGGCTGTGTGTAAGAGCTCTGAAATCTACAAGGTATCACTGGTGTCAGTGCCAAGAATACAACTGTGCCAAACCACCAATGACTGCCCTGGCTTAGCCAAGCGCTGATCAGTCAGGGCTCAAGGCTTTGGGATAAGTGCTAGGAGCTGTTCTGGGGTAAAAGAATTACTGGCTATAGAGGCAGCAAGCCAGCAACAATGATCCCATCCTTTCATCAGGGATGTCAGAAGCACTCATAGGTACTAAGGGGCTTGCTGCAGCAAATATTCACACTCAAGATATCTCCCTTGATGAGCTTTTTTGTGGTCTCCCACCATTTCTGTCCAACTATAGAGTAAAATCTGTTATTTCAATAGAGAAAGTTTTCAAATACTGGCTGCTATGCTAATTACATAAAAAGTTAGATGCCCAGAACAACAGAGTGGACTCTTAACATGCTGTCTCATTTATCTTTGTGGTCCCCTAGGCTTAGCACAAAGCTTAACATACTGATTCTTTTCAAAAAAATTTGTTGATCATCTCACTTATATTCCTTCATCTATTCATGTATAGAGACATCCAATCCAATTTATAATGCCTATTAGATGAGAATATTGAGGTTCAGAGAGAGGTGGGAACTTGCTCAGGATCACATCCCTACTCAGTAGTTAAGCAACGCTAGAGTTCTTTGATTGTAAGCAACAGCTATCCATTGCAGTAACTTGGGCAATAGGCAGATAAACTGACAGACAAGTAAGAAGATACTAGACAACCTGTGGAATTAAGGGAGAGCTGAAGGTTTAGATTTTTGGGAAAGACCTGAATAAGCATCCTCAGGGGTCTCGATGGCAGGAAATCACAAGTAGTCTTTCCACGATTCCACCGTCAGGTCTTCCATCCTCAGCCACCTCATGTATGTGACTGCCCAAGATTCAAAATCCTGACGGGAGATTCTGATTTGTCATCAAGTCAGATCTTCAGTCTTTCACCTAAGCTGTGATCAGGGACTCTGGACTCCATGAAAGACATCCCTCTAGAACACAAAGGGTCAGAGTCAGGGTCAAACTCTCAAAGGATGCCAAGAAACCAGAAAGGCAAACAAAAAGTGTTATGAAAAGAATGTACACTGCATGTTTAAAGCAGGACAAATCCTTTCCCAAGGGCAAAAATTTAACTTTAAAATATATGCAATTTAGCTGTCTAAAAAGTTTAGAAATAGGCACCTGCTTGACATAAAATGATTCCTTTAATGAATGTACCTTCAGACTGATGGCTAATGATCAAGGCCCTTGGGGCTACCTTCAGCTTTGCTTCCTGATGCATGGCCCGGTTTCTGTGTTGGAAGTAAGGAAACTCGCTGTTCCAGGGCTTAACCTATATCTAGAGAATGACTCACACATAATGACGAAAGTACCTGGTGTATAGTATCTTAGCCTTTGCTGAGCACTTCAGTCCCTTGAAAAATCCTATTTGCAGGATTTTTAAAAACAGTATTACTCATGTCTTGGACAAAACCAGGGCTTTCTGAAGTAAAACTCTGACCCAGGGAGAAAGCACGTTAGCCTGAGGGCAAAGAGGACTGAGTTTGGGTCTGTACTCTGTCATTTGCTAGTTTGGACAAGGCTGCTTTACTTTCCTTGACCTCAATTTGTTAATCTATATTATTAATGAAGGTGTTGAACTACACACTTTTTATTGAAATAGTATGACAAGTGAATGTGAAGATAAATAAATGCCTTAAAACTTAATAAAACTACATTTCACTTTATAGATGAGCCTCACTTTCATCCTTTTAAACAAAATTTTGAGACATATAGAAACAGACAAGATAGACAGCAATCAAAGTTTTAAAAGATTATTTAAATTGCTTATCTATCCTGGCTCCCTGACAGTGTAACTCATCATTAAGATTTTATGGCCACTACCTTCTGCCTTCTGATGAAGTGCTTGTTTTGAATGTCTGAGCACTCTGAAATGCATCCTCTCCTCACTACTACTTCCCCAAGTTATGAGTAACTTGGATGAACTGGTGGGCACAGAGGGTTAACGGCCCACCCCTCTTCTTTTTAATGGCTTTCTTAGGAACAGAAATGTTAGGCAATGTTGGTATTCAATCATAACTCTTGGATCTCATTTGAGGCACTTGGACAAGCTCCCCTCTGAATATAAACATTAAACAGCATATAAGCATAAACAAAGAGAATATTATTAGAGAGATCTGCAAATATCATATATATTCTTTCTCTTTGTATATGTAAAATTAAACTACTTTGGTGGTGCCCATAGAGTTTAATAGTTATATTTTATTTTCATCACTGCAAAGAGATAGGAAATGGCATTGGGTGTCAGCGGGTCTTCTTGAATAACCTGGACATTCTTCTGAATTCTAAGAATAGAGCCTTAAGCCTTGTTCTCAAGGAACCCACAGGTGGTGGGGTATGGAGAGGGAGTGCTCTCAATTATCCCTTCAATGCATGATAAATAGGTACAATACATAGCTACCTGTAAGGCTAAAAACCAGATTCTTCAAAGCCCAGCCAGGAGCTCAAGTGTTCTGTTCACCCAGCTCTTAATCAGAGTAGGGAAGGCATGAAGAAGACACAGGAGATAGATTCATGAAGAATACTTGTAGCTTTTATACGTGACCTGAAACCTTAAGAAAGGTTTTTCCTGACACTACCAAAATGAATTCATCAAAAGATAGCCTGCTGATGAGACTTTTCTGCAACTTTGCTGTTATTAGACTCCAGGGAGTAAATGATTCTCATTATTATAAAGAGGGAATTATGGGCTTTTTCTCCATGACCTAGAAGACAATCTTATCTTCATTTTCTTTCTTCCAGGTGGTTATGTTGAACATGTAAATATTCTTCCTGCTGTGAGTATTAGTGCAGCTGGCCAAAGATGCTCTATTTTAAAGATGCAGATGCAGGAAGATAAAAGCATCAGAAACACTGCATTGAGCAAGAGTGTCCTGGCTGCCAGGGTCCTGGTTTAGACAGTGGTAGCAATGAGACTTTTGGTGGGACAATGTTGAAACTGTACTGTCTCAGTCATGGTTCGTTTTTTGTTACAATTATCATGTGTCTCCTCAAATGAGCTGAAATATTAAGGGGCTATCGTATAAGGATACAGGAGCATTTGCAGGGTGTTAATTATAGTCTGACCTCTGAAGAGTCTGGGTTGAAAAACTGAGTATCTATTCTCTATCTCTCCTTCTTTCTCTCTCTCTCTGAGGCCATATGGTCTCTCATTTTCATTTATTTTTGCATCTCCGCTTCATTCTTCTCTTTTTTTCGACACTCCTGCTGAATCTCCATCTCTGCCCATATGGCAGAAGACAGCTGCCCCTGGCTTCCTTATTCACATGCCCTTGACATTCACATGTCAAGCTGTGAGTGAAGACTAAAACCCTCATATCTTTTTCTTCAAGCTTCTAGGAAAGAGTCTCTGATTAGCCCAGTTGGGCCCATTTTATCTACCTATGGTTCAATCAGGAATTTCGTGGAAATCCTAAAGGCCAAACACGGATCCCCAAGAAAAAAGAATTCTCTACTTAGCATTGTGGTGAGCCCTTTATGGGCATTGCCTTTGTCTAAAGTTTATAGAAATTCTATGAGGTTGCTTTACAGTTTCATTTTATATGTAATAAAGCAGAATCTCAAAACAGTTAAGTAATTTGCCCAGGATCATGCACTGGGCAATATTTCCACAAAAACCATTTTTTTAGAGACAGGGTCTCACTCTGTTACTCAGGCTGGAGTGCGGTGGTGCAATCATAGCTCACTGTAGTCTCAAACTCGTATGCTCAAATGCTCTTCCAGCCTCAACCTTCTGAGTAGCTAGGACTGCAGGTGCTTGTCACACAACATGTTTTGGTTTCACTATTTTATTTTCTGTAGAGATGGTATCTTGCTATATTGCCCAGGCTGGTCTCGAACTCCTGGTCTCAAGTGATCCTCTCACCTTGGCCTCCCAAAGCACTGGGATTACAGGTGTGAGCCACTGCTCTTAGCTCCTGCACCTTCCCCAGCAAGCTTTTTACCATCACCATCTCTTGCACTAAAACAAGGTTTCTCAAATTTCAGTCTGCATCAGAATCACTTGTAGAGCTCATTGAAACCAACTTATCTGGGCCCTATATTCAGAAATATTGATTCTGTAGACCTAGGGATGAGGCTGGAGAATTTGCATTTCTGACAAGCTCTTTTGTGCAGCTAATGCTGTCTTGGTCCTTGCTACTTTGAGTCGTACTGCTACTTTTTGTTTGCCTTTCTGATTTCAAAGCTACTTGGTCCTTGCTACTTTGAACAGTACTGCTGTAAACAATCAAGAAGTTAACCTTATCATGAATTAAGAAGTTCCTTTGAATTGTAGCTATACCCTATAAATAATCAGAATAAAATAATTTCATTTATTTGCTTTGTCTAATCTCAATATTTTGCTCATTCTGTTTTTAACACATCTTCCTAAGAAAGAAAACCCTTTCTGACTTGGGACACTTACATTTAGAGGGACTTTCAGTAGTGGATACATACATAATTTTGGAGGCCATTATAGAAGTCACATACATACTTTTTTCCCCTAATCCTCCACTGAGATTTTTAAAAATCACTGCAGTGCTCATTAGAGAAGTGATTCTGAATAACATTGCCTCACTAGGAGATGGCAGAGATCAGTTTCCTGAACTAGGGTATATATGAACTTCAATCTTCTAATCCCATTATAGTTTTTAAGTTTTGTAGTCAGCAAGGAAAATGAGCAAACTACTACTAAACACAGAGATGAATCTCACCCATCAAGTGTTGCATGAGAAAAACCAAGCAGAAAAGAGTACATACTTCATGCTTCCATTTATATAAAGTTTTAAGCAATCAAGATCTATGGGGATGGATGATAAGACCAGACCTTGGCTGCTGCTGGGGCAGGATAGTGACTGTGGGGCACAGGGGTGTGGGTTGAGGAGGTGCACTCCCAGGAGCTGGTGATGTTCTGTTTCTGACCTGGAGGCTAGCTGCATGGGCATGTTCAGTTTGTGGAAATTCATGAGCTTGTATATGTGTGAGCTGAGCACTTTTCTGTGTATGTTGTTATAGCCAATATAAAAGATTCAGATGTGTTTAAAAAACAAGTCATTTGTAGAAAAGCAGGATATGAACTGTATTGACAAACTTATTGCAAATGTGCTGTACTTTGACTTCTAGAAAGAACAAGCCTGAAAGAAAACATTCCAAACCATGACTGTCTCTGGATGGTGGAAATGTGGCTGGATTTACTTTTTGGGCTTTTCTGTATTGTCTAAATTTTCTGCAATGTGCATACATTACATTTATTAATATATCTTAACATATTTAGTTTTTATTTAAAACATTGATTTTGTTAAAGTAAACGTAAATAAGAGGACCAAGACCCACCAAATTCAGAAGCAGAAACCTTCTGCAAATGTCTATTTAATACAAGTATCAGAACAAAAAAAAGTGGCCATGGAAATTTTGGGATCTTGACAATCACTTTATCCCACATAAATAGTATTTCCCAAGGACCTCTTTCAGGTTCTATTGGTATTTATAAAGCAAGATTCATGAAGAAAGCGCACTTAGTAAGCAAGGAAATGATCCTTTCATGAGGTTTGCAACACAGGATACAAATGTCCAAGGGCCAAGTGATAATAAGAGATTTTTTACCAAAGCTCAGAGATACTGAAAACTACAGAAAATCCATTAAGTGTTCTGCAATACTTTTAATATTTGTGACAGTGACAAAAATTGAATAAAAATATAGATGTGTTTGTGGCAGGAATTATAATGCATTCTTTCATTATTTCCCCTTGAAACTCTAGTAGGATAAATCTTTTCAAAAAGGTTATACATTTTATGTTAAGCATCTCAATGTTTTTGATGAAAGAAACCATTAAAGCTTTTTGAGTATCAAAGAAGAAAAAAGAATGATGATGTGATCTTCCATTCTGGTCTCTCACTGTTTCCTGAAATTTCACTATTCCTGACTATATCAAAAACCTAAGGAAGGGAGAGGAGTCATTGGCTGACAGAGCCCAGTGCTAACCTGGTTGGCTGGGTGAACACTGCACTTGCTATATTTTGGAATCAGTCTCCTTGGGTTTTAATTCTGGCTCTCCCAATCGCTGTGTATGGAACTTAGGGAAAATCATTTAGCATATCTGAATCTCAGCTTCACTGGCTATAAAATGTGAGTAACTTTTATTCCTTCCTCATAGGGTTATTATAAGGATTATAAAAATTACATGTGTACTGGTTATCATTTTTTTGCTTTTCATCTCCAAATTTACCCTTCGATACCTGCTCTGTGATAATGGGTGGACATCCTTTAAGCATTTCTCCTTTACCATAAATACAATGTTAAGCTTTCTTAGTAGCAGGCACTGAAGGCACATTAGAGGAGCAAAGGGGCTCTCTTGTGCATTCCTGGAGTTGCATTGACAGTCATTGGTGAGGGTGGAAAGACATGCGGTGGGGCTCTGCTTTTATCATGAACCCAGAGCGTAAGTCCCTCCATGACTCAGCAGCCCCAGTAGGTCTCACCTGTCCATAGTCTTTTCAACAGGGCACTCCACATTGAAGCTTTCTGCCCATACCTCTCCAACACCCTCTGCAAGCCTGCAAGTCCAGTTATCAGCCATACCATACTTATGCCCCAAGGTTTACTTCCTGCTTGTCCAGCAACTGTAGACCAGCTCTGACCTAGCAAAACAGCGCATTTCTCTTGCACCTAGTGAGTTGCAACCTTCTCCAATGAGGTCTGAATCCCAGCCTTGGTAAGGTGGCCCCCTTCCAAGTTTGTCCTCTTTTGGATATTCACCCTCAGCTCTGGTACTATTTAGAGTTCTCTTATAATTATTTTTTTTTCCATAGGGTTCTGCAAACTTTTCCTGCAAACAACACAGTAAGTTAAACAGGGGAAGCTTAGAGTCCTCAAAGATACAGCCTAGGGACAAATGCAGCCAGTGGCTTGTTTTTGTGCAGCCCACATTCTAAGAATGTGTTTTTACATTTGTAAAGGATTGCTTAAAGAATGAGGAGAAGGAGGCAGAGGAGGAAGAGGAGGGGGGACACAAAAGAGAAGAAAAGAAGGACGAAGACTAGAAGGAAAAACAGACCTTATTTGGCCTGCAATGCCTAAAATCATACCATCTGGTCCTTCATTGAAAAAACAGTCCCACCTACTGAAGTCTACACTAGCAATCTGTATTTTAATAAACACTCCTGGTGATTCTGATGAGAACTAAAGTTGAGAACCACTGGATTGAGAGTAGCTATTCCACTGACCATAGTGTTGGTCCTTAACTTATTGTACAAATGACAAAAAGTAATTCAGGTTTTGTGTGGGAGCCGGCAGAAAAGAATTCTCTTCTTCTCTGTAGTGTGGTATGAAGATGGAAGATGCAGCTGTTTTGCTACCACAGGGGCAGTGTCTGGAGCTGGCAGGTGAGAGGCAAGATCCTGAGGACTAAGCCAATACCACAGCAAACCAGAAAAAAAGGCGGGCAGAACTCAGGGCCTGGTGGCTTCCTCGGAGCTGCCAGATCAAGCTCACCTGCCTCAGAACTTGTCAGACACACCTCCCAATAAATTCACTCTAGAGGGGTGTTTTTCAGCTTCAGGACTGTTGATATTTGGAGCCAGATAATTTTTTGCTGTAGAGGATTATCCTGTCTTATAGGCTCCAACCACATCCCGGCCCTCTACCTTCTAGATATCAATCAGCCCAGCCCCTTAGTTGTGACAACCAAAAGTGTCTTCAATTTTGCCAAATGTCTCCTGGGAGAAAAAAATCACCCATAGTTAACAACTGCTCTAGAGTTTCAACTGGTTTGACCTGTGTTTTTGGACACAGCATTATAAATACTTAATGGATCCTGTACTTCTTGAAGCACTGGTATATATACTAAGAGTAATAAATTCAAAAGGTTTCTCTTAGTAACGAATGTCCATATTCAAGGAGATTATCCTTGAGATATTGCTCCTTAAGTGAATAGACTCTGGATTCTTGCTTTGAAGAATATCATCACAAAATGCCCTCTCAAAACCCACATTCCGTATTAGCCCCAGAACTTTCTGGGCATTGTTTCTTATAGGCTTGTGCTCAAAGTTCCCATTCTCAACGGAGTTTAACTTTGATGTGTGTGTGTCTTTCTCTATGTTCTGTGTAACCCACGTGACACTCCATTCTCATTTTCTGATTTCCATGAAATCATTTTTGGGGGCACCACAGGCATGGAGAACAATCCAACAGGAACAGTCAATAAAGGGTAGACATTTGATGTTAGCCAAAAGGCTGAGAATTGATTAATAAAGGGTAGAAACAACATATGTGTACTTACATGTTTTCCATCACTGTTGGGCGTGAATCTTGGTTAGCTGATTTGGTTCAGGTGAGACTATCACATTGATTAATATCCCCTGGGCGTATTAGAAGTGGGGGTAAAAATATAAATTAAGTATTTGTCTCTCAGGGCTTAAAAAGTCTTATAATGTGTGGTAATTTAGGCCTCAGGCATCAGTCTTTAGCTCAATTTCTTGGCCTTCACCGCTGTCCTCTATCAAATTAAAAACAAGCAAAAGAACCTCTCCTGTTGTATTATGAAGGCAGTTCATCTCTCTCTCGATTATCTCTAAATTCAGTTGGGGGTCTCTTTGCACATTCAGAGATTCATCACTGTGCTCAGCCAACAGAGAGCCTTCTTCTCTAGGTCTTACCCTTTGCCTCAGGGAGCAGTAATATAATTCCCCAAAATACTCCACTCTGTTACCGTTTCAAGAAAGGACGTGCTGCCCAGCTGTGTGAGAACAAGGACAGCAGACGGGCTCTAGGTGGCAGCTTCTTCAAGGTTGGCATCAGCCACAGAGCCTCCCTGCCCAAAGTCATGCCTTTCCCGAAAAAGCCTGTATCCATTGCATTGTATTAAGAAAAGTGGAGACATAAAAGGACAACTATTTTGGTTTAATAAAACATTTGGAAGTCGAAACTTACTCTAAAGATTCCCCGTCAGGTTATCCAAGGCTGTGTAGGGTCCGCACCTCAAATCTTACTCAGCATCTGCTTCTGGAGCACATAGTCTGTAACAGAGATTTCTGTTCCCATATTACATAAAATAATCCATGCTTATTCATTACATTTTTTAGTGTCTACTCTATGCCAGACACTGTACTAGGTCGTGGGGTTACTACAGTAAAGTGATACACCTGTGGTTTCAGCCCTGTGGAGTTTACAGTCTTTTAAAGGAAACTGACAGATCACAGGCAAATGAATTAAGGTGGATGAGTGAATGAACTGGAAGCTCTTTAGTGTATCAACGTTGTGGTTGACCAGCTGGTATTTTGTATACCTTCAGTAAATTGACCCAAGCAATTTTACTCTGGATCTTTTGACAGAATTTGCTTATAGAATATCGGACAGCCAGTTGTCACTGGGATTTCTTTCAGTTCAATGACTTTTCTCTTTTGCCTCCTCATTCTTTATTAAGAAAATTATTCAGACTGTAGCTTGCTGGTTTTAGACATTCCCACTGGCAATTGGGACGTCTATTTTGGAGATGTAATTGAAAAGACTGAAGAATACACTGAGGACCTTCTGGCTAATAGATGTTGAAAAAGAAGCCAAGATAGTTTGGTCAAGATTTCTGCAGTTCCTGAGTTTCTAATAACAACAACAAAAATGGCCTTTATTTCCTATTGACCCAAACAGTGGCAACATTTTAGTCAAGGTGATTTAAAGGAGTTTAGATAGAGAGGTGGATTCTTGGGCCATAGTAAAGGCAGAAAATGGGTTATTCTGCCATTAGCTTTTACTCGGCAATTTTTTTATCTCCCCAAAACACTTTAATATTGAGTTGAGCTTTTCATCCCCTGGGAATTGGAGAGGCTCTGGAAATAACATATACAGATTGGTTGTACATTTTCTCATTAACCATTATCTTTCTAAGCTCCCTAGTGGCAAATTAGCCAGGTCTAAGAAGTTATTATGGCATCCAAACCACCATGTATGTTTTGGGATTATAATGTAACCCAGAAATATTAACTCCAGCGAGTGGGTGCCTAGAGTCTTGGCAAAGTCCCCCATAAGCTAGTTAGCCAGTGTTTGAAATAAATCCATAAATAATAATAATAGTTAACAATTACTAAGTGCTCACTATATGCTAAGCAGTGTGCCAAATATTTATTATACATTTTCCTACTTAAGCCATACAAGTATTCTGTAAGGTAGACATTATCATCATTTCCCTTTTGCTAATATGAAAAATGAAGGTGGGTTAAATAATTTACCTTAGAGACATATAGCTCTATAGCACCATTACCTTCATCACGAAGTAAGATGCCAATCATCTGGAAGCCACTAAAAGTTTATAATGTAATTGTTCCATTTTCAGCAACTCACAACATCCTGTTTATACATTGCTTCTGACACTGTTCTAATCAGCCTCTGTGCCTGGAGTTAAAAATCATCCAGTCCATTTAAATTCAATCCACTAGAAGATTCATATGGCCCATGAAATGTTTTAGTTTCTAGGGAGGGAAAAGAAGACAAAAATAAAAAGATGCATTTTCTGCCCTCAATGAAGTCACAGTCTATTAGGCTAGGTTAGTCTTTATTTTCTTTGAGTCTATGACTGTATTCTTTGTTTCTTCACTATAGTTTATGGAATTTGGACTAGGAAAGTAATGGAAAAAGATTATTATCCAAAGAAATATTGATATAACTATTTAGAACTCAGTTACTTTGCTATTTGGCAAAATACCAAGCGAGTTTTCCTGACTAACATAGGGATAGAACCTATGGCCTCTATCTCATTATTAATGTTAGTATTAAGTAGGAAAAGCCAGCCTGATACCTAACTATAATAATCGCCATTTATCTGGGGTGTGACTCCAGTCACCAGCTGATAAACTCTGTCTTTTGGAGGGCACTGTTGTCTTCATATCCACATAAATATGCCCCAGAAGTCATGTTTGAATTGCATAGCCTAATGGGCCATGGCTAGCAGTCAATAGGTTAAGACTACCCAAGCCAAGCCAACTAGATTATTTTCCTGGGATTCTCAGATGTTCTACCTCTGTTCTTGCAAGTGGTTGAACCAGTAATACCTAAACTTGGGGGCAATGGGATAGCCATTAGTGTGCCAAAGAGCAAAGAAAGCCTGTCTGTATCTAGAAAGACAAATACTGATGTGTAAAGGGAAACAGCTGTGAGAAATGAAGAGAAAGTCATGAAAATATTTGGATTTCTGGTTGTAGTCTGGTTTCATAAATTCTGGTTACAAGTCATTCCCCAAGCCATTCCTTTATTCTTATAATAAATTCCCATTCTTGGCATAAGCTAGCCTGAGTTGGCTTTTGTTACTTGTCATCACTGACACTTAAGTGATACATAAACTGAACAATCTTTACTGGAGTTGTCATGTAGAGTTGTACACTGTATAACACTGAGGAGTGCCAGTCACATTATTGATTGCATTATATAACCATATGCAGTGTCCTGAATTTTATGGTCATTGAGTTTTTGAGCAATATATTTCCTGAGTGCTTAACTCAATTCATCAAATATTGATTGAGTACCTAGTCTACTTAATCAGTTCTATTCTAGAGATTGTACTAGTTATAGAATACAAAGATTAAAAATAAAAACAGTCCCTACTCTTTACATGGTCACAGTCTAGGAAAGCAGATCAACAAAAAAACAATCACAACATAATGTGATATAGATGATAAAGAAGAATTTCAGAGGGGAACATAAATAATAACTTCCTCAGGAAGTGTCAGGGGAGGCTTCACAGAGAAGGAATGCCTAAGCAAATTCCAGGTAGTAGGAACAGCATGAATAAAAGTATGAGTAAGTGTGGGAGGCTGAGGCAGGCAGAGCATCTGAGGTCAGGAGTTCAAGACCAGCCTGGCCAACAGAGTGAATAAAACCCCATTTCTACTGAAAATACAAAGAAATTAGTCATGTGGTGGCACGCACCTGTAGTCCCAGCTACTAGGGAGGCTGAGGCAGAATAATCACTTGAACCTGGGAGGTGGAGGTTGCAATGAGCCGAGATCATGCCACTGCACTCCAACCTGGGTGACAGAGTGAGACCCCATCTCAAAAAAAAAAAAAAAAAAAAAGAAGCTTGAGTAAGTGAAATAGCATAGTATGTTTGCAGAACTGTGGATGGTTTGCAGTTGCAGAAGGTGGAAAGAGTAATGAATGAAGGAACAGGGGCCAAATCACAAGAAGTTTTGTATATCAGGCTAAAGGGCTTGCACATTATGCAGTAAACTAAAGCTTTTTACATTGTGACAACTGAGTGACAAAAATAAAATCCTAAGCTCCACATCCAACTGAACAAACCCCCTTTTGGTCAAGGGGACCTCAGAGAAATGTTAAAAATTGAGTTCCCAGTTATGACTGGATAGGAGGTAGAACACACCTTGGTATGCCCCTTGTGTTAGTCCATTTTCACACTGCTGATAAAGACATACCCGAGAACTGGAAGAAAAATAGGTTTAATGGACTTACAGTTCCACATGGCTGGGGGGCCTCACAATCATGGCAGAGGGCAAGGAGGAGTAAGTCATGTCTTATGTGGAAGGTGGCCAGCAAAGAGAGAAGAGAACTTGTGCATGGAAACTCCCATTTTTAAAACCATCAGATCACTTGAGGCTTATTCACTACCATGGGATCAGCTGGGAAAGACCTGACCCCATGATTCAATCTCTCCCACAACATGTGGGAATTATGGGAGCTACAAGATAAGATTTGGGTGGAGATACAAAACAAAACCATAGCATTCCTCCTTATTAACCTTTAACCAGAATTCTTTCCTAAGGAGTACACAGAAACCAGCTCTAGAGAACAAGAAACAGATGACATTCCTTTGTCATGTTTAGCCAATCAGCTGAGGGTGTGGCCAGATTCTCCCTCCATCTTCACAGTTTCCAGGTGACAGCTCACCAGCTTCACAATGCATCCCTTCCTAAATACTGGCCTCCATCTCTGGTCCAGTTTTGGCCAACTCCTGAAAGATGTACAGTGGCAGTTTTCAGGTCCTCTGCTTCACTTTTTGATGTCAGACAGTCAAGAACTCCACCCGCGGATCATGCTAATGTTGTTCTTCTTGAACATGCCACCCATGAAGAGGCATAAAGCTCAATTGCACATGTGCATTCTTCTCTTTTCATAAATATTCATGACTCCTATCACTTATTAAATATGTATACTGGTCACCCATTCAGCATAAATTCCTGTTTTATTTTTCCGTTCCTAGAAATGCTTGCTCTTGACTTTTGTTCAAGAGTACATTTCCAAACCTGTGGGATGACCAGCCTGCATTCTGCAACCCTTTAGGAGAAATAAAGCTCTCCTTTCCAAATTTATGAATCTGGCAATTCTTCAGTTGACATGATATTTGAAGCATCTTGGGGACTTGCTAACACACTGATTCTGATTCAGTAGGTCCAGAATAGAACTTGCACTTTCCATTTCTAACAAGCTCGGTCATAGTGCCAAGGCTGCTGGTACTTAGACCACCACACTTTGAGTAACAAGGCTTTAAGCAGTGAGGCATTGTAAGCTATTAAGCAGGGAATAATATGGTATTGCAGAATTATTCCCCAATGTAGTGGGATGGTCATATGAGGCATAGGATGTGAGGAAGCATTAAGGCAAAAGACCAGTTAGAAAGATATTTCAAGATCCTCATGAGAACTGATAAAGGCAGGAATTAGACTCACTATGTCAACTTGAGGGTGTAGTGCTAGGGAACAGTAGGAAGTGTTCCTTCTTTCCTGCTTCTGTCTGGATTTGTGCTGCAGAATAATGGAGAACTTTAAAATTATCTTCTTTAATAGCACAATCTGTTTCCTGAGTGTTTACTTTTATATCTACTGCATTGTTAAAGCCCTTTAAAATTATTTTCATTTTAACCTGCAAAATCTACTCTTGATCAAATAATTTGCAATCAAGTGGTAATTTCAAGTGGGCTGAATTCAGTACTAAGACAGGTTTATGATGAAAGTCTTCACAAGGAAATGGAGCATTGCAATTTTAACTGGGGACAAATTGTTGCTCCAAACTGTGCTCAGAGACAAACTGTGCTCTGTGTAGCACACCAGAGATGAGGAGGCACCTTGGTTTGCATAAGAATTGTCTGGAATACTTATTTTTAAAATGCAGACACTTTGCCTATCCCTCACCTTACCTCATCCTTACTGGGCTTACTTGGGACTAAGACAACTGCATTTTTAACCAGTACCTCCAAGAGAGTGTGATGCAGTTGAAATATCCATGAGAATAGAGAAATAAGAGTTTAGCTCATTTTGGCAAAAATGAATTGCCTTTCTGTAATGTAAATCATTGCCTGTTACTAGCCAATAGCACCAAACACACAGACAAGGTAAGCTGGTCCCTGCCTTCTAAGAGGTTATATTCTCGACGACTTAAGTGATCAGGAAGTTTTGTATAGCTCTAATAAAGATCCTTACATCCACATCATGCTTGTAAAGACTTTTGTATCTGACAAGGTTCATATTGCATAACCATTGTTAATAACCCAAAAGCAATCTCGAAGAGTTTCAAATAGGTCATGAAACCTCTGTTTTCCAGACCTGGATAGAAAACCTTGGAGATAGTGCTTGATGGACATCACATAGCTGGTTGCTGGCAGAAACACTGAAGCAGAACTTGTAATATATTCAAAACAAGTGAAGACTAGGAGTCAGAAATTCTCCTGAAGGTCAGCTACATCTCCAGCCATCCATGAAGAGCTATCTTTCTCAATCCTGGCTAATATCAGCGCCATCCTGGGAGCTTTCAAAAACCCTGATGTGCAAGTCACACTCCAGACTCAGGTGGAAACAACCATCAGTACTTTGTAAATCTCCCCATGTGCAGCCAAAGGTGGGAATCCAAGGATGCAAGGCTTCTGCCATAGGTGGATTTGTTATGATGCTAATGAAGCTTCAGCCTCAGGGACCCTCATATTGCATGGGTTACTTACAAGGACCAAGATTTAAATTTGTATCCAGGATTGTGATTTACTTTCCTCAAACCAGGCTCCTTGTGTCAGTTTGGGCTCTCTGAGAACTAGACACCAAGATGAAATCAGAGATTTAACAGGTTCATTGAAGAAAGGATGAAGGAGAGAGACAGCAGGAGTAAGGAGAGCATTTAGATAGTGGTGCCAGTCTGCCTTCTGTGAAAGGAAAGAAAGAAGGAATGGGAGTCAGTGCTGGGTAGAAAGAATCTCAGATGCCAGAGAAGTTTTTAGAAGGTCTTGGCCTGGCCAAAGGGGAGTCCCTGAACAAGGGTAGTCACCATAGGAGTGCTGTATCAAGAACAAATGATAGGCCAGATGTTTTGGCTCACACCTGTAATCCCGGCACTTTGGGATGCCAAGGCAGGAAGATTGCTTGAGTTTAGGAGTTTAAGACCAGCCTGGACAATATGGTGAAATCTTGTTTCTACAAAAAACTTTTAAAAATTAGCCAGGCATGATGGCATGCACCTGTGGTCCCAGCTACCCTGGAGGTTGAGATGGGAGGATAACTTAAGCCCAGGGAGGCTGAGGCTGTAGTGAGCTAAGATCATGCGACTGAACTCTAGTCTGGTTGACAGAATGACACCCTGTCTCAAAAAAAAAAAAAAAAAAAAAAAAAAAAGACTAAATGATATAGCTTTGAAACCTTTCCTGTGCTCAGTCAGTGGCTGAAATAACCAGAGGAAGCACCACTGCTCAGTGGATGTCACTGGGCGGGGGGCAGGGCATAGGGTGTGAGGTGCTGCCACTGGAGGTTGTTAATCCACCCTAGATCCCATGCCAGGTTCTCTCAAGAAGAGATCTGAGTGGCACACCTCAGTGGCCACCACACCCCTCATTCATATATTAAGTTCATACCCCATCGCTTCCTTCGAATTCATGGCTGCGATGGGGAGAGGGGGCATTAATCTGACCGCCACCAGGGTTAACTTTGAGAATTTTCAGTAACAATTCCTGGGACACATACACACCATTTTCTTTCCTTTTAAAATTCACTGGGAAAGCTTGGCTGTGATGGGAAAGTGTTTTCTCTCAAGTGAATAAACACTGAGTGAATAGACACCACCAAGGCTGTCATCAATCTGCCAGCCTGTTGCCTTCAGGGACCTACCATTTAGGAAAACAGGTGAAATTTGGGTTTATTCATTTTGTTAGTTATACAACGATTTTCTTTAAGTGCTTTTCTGTGTGCCAGGCACTATGCAATGCCCAGTTTTCAGGATACATGACCTGGTTCTTGTTCTCATGGAGCTTGAATTTTAATGAGGTGTGATAGACCAAAAGCCAGAGAATGTATAAATAAATACAATCATAACAGTTTCTCACAATTGTTTAAGAAGGACACAAAGTACTATGATAGAGAGTAATGGGATTGGGTACTATTTTAGGTAGGGTTGTCAGGGAATGACACTTAAATACCCTCATTAAAGTGGAGGGTATTTAAATAGAGACCTGGATTTTAGGGATTGGGGTAGGAGAGGAAGGAGAAAAAGAAGTATTCCAGGTAGAGGGAAGTCCTCAGAGTTTTCTAATTTTTTTCTAGGTGTCTTCAGTTTTTTCTAAGTACCTGGTATGCCGGCACACATGGAGTGAGAGGAATCCAAGTATAGAATAATTTTGGAGAGGTGGAAAGGTAGTGGAGATCCTGTGGACCATGGCAAGGAGCTTGAATTCTATTTTAAATAAAAGGAAAAGGCATGGCAAGATAATAAGCAGTATGATGACACTGGAAAAGAGGGAGGTGACATAAGCTAAACTATGGTTTCCTGGTATCACTTGGCTACTGTATATGGAATGGACTAGGGGGAAAATAAGAGGAGAAGTGGAGAGACCAGTTAGCAGGCTGAATCCTGAGATCTGGTGTTGGGTAGAGAGCCCAGAGAGAAGGAGAGGACATGAAATATTTCTAATATTTTTTCAGTAGAATTCAATGGCTTCAAGAGCATCAGCTAGGGTTGCTCTAGTGTTAAAATCTAATAAGACGTCTTTTTCAGAGTGTATTTGAGGGCAGCTTTAATAAATAATATTTAGGAGTTCATATTACAGATTTACAATGCTTCCCATTGTTATATTTTTAATTCAAAAAATTTAGTTATTTAAATACCACTTTACATTTCAGTATTTGTAACTGCTGATTAAATTTTCTTAACTCTATGCTTCACATGCACTGAAACCACTGTGAGTTATTGAGCTTCTACTATATACCATGCACTATGTTAGATAGGCATAGATAGATATAGATATATAGATCTCTGACAGAGAGAGAGAGAGAGATCCTTTTCTGGATAAGAAAACTTAGACTTAAATAATTGAAAACATGCCTAAGATTCTTCCACTTATATAAATCACAGATTCAAACCCTTGTTTATTTGATTACAAGCTTGTTTTGAACCATTAAAGTAAGTTGTCCAAAGATAATTTTTCACCTCTGTTTCTTACTGAACTATAGAAAAGAGAGCTTTTCACGTCAACATGGACAAAGTATAACCTTTAAAAGCATTCCTCTGCCCAAATCTGGTTCTGTATGCATTGGGGAAAGCCATACTTCCAGTATAAATGCCTACCTCCACAAACCGAAATTCACCATCCACAGGTCTTTCTTGCTGAGCTTACCTCAGACAGGCTGCCTCCTGAAAAATGAACCATAGAGTCCTTTTTATGACAAGAAAACGAATCTCAATATTCCTTGAAATATCTCTTAATATCCCATTGGTAAAATGTGACCTGCTTCAAGTTTACAATAAACTCATCCCAGAGATATATTTCATGTCATTTAAAACACACTCCATCTTATTCCCTAAGTAAAGTAATCTCTCTAAACACACCTTATATTTGTATAGTGCTTCACAGCTTGCCAAACACTTTTGCTACATATCATTTGATTCTGAGGGGCAAGTAAGACAGGTGCTATCATCATCATCCTATTTTTAATAGACAAGAAGCTTACTCTCATAGAGATGAAATGACTCGTCCAAGCAAGATTCAAGACCTAAGAAAGGTAGGCAGGGCGTTAGGATTTCAACACTTTTACAAATGCAAATAGTAAAGAAGATGAAAATGGCTCCAAGCCACTTTTTGGGGAGTAAGTTAGCCTTACATATAGATTCACTTCCATATCAGGATGAACTTTGGCCTTCCTGGGGAATGGACTGGCTTGTAACATGTCATAGGTATTTGCAAGAATGGTACAAATAACATGAATGTGAGTCTTTTCTGTATTTAGCTGCTTCTGGCAATATTACTGTATTGATTTCCTGTCATTGTTTTCATTCATTGCTCCTTCCATTCACAGCTGGCCTCTGTCAGGGGTTCTCTTCCTTCTATGCATTAGTTTCTATTCCATTCAGAATCAACTTGAATCAAATATAACTATAAGAGGTGCCTTTTGGACAATACAGAGGTCATATTCATGGAACACAAAAGGAACTGAGATTGTGTGGATTACAAAAGAATCAGATGTGGTATAAATTCATTACACAAATAATGAGTGGGATCTCATGAAAATTGGAACTAAGCCTGTTTTGTAAAGCCTGAAAAGGGGAATCAAAAGCAATGAGTAGAAATCATTTTACCCATGCCATCCACCTACCTATCTGCCCATCCACTCAACAAATTCTAAAATAAAAGTAGACAATCAACATAATCAATAGTTTAATATGATTTGGAGGTTCATTAAAGGCTTTCCTGTGGAAGTGACACTTAAATTGAGACCTGAAGACTGGCTTCTGTCTTTAGCCAGATGAAAAGAGAAGATAAGCATTCCAAGCAGAGAAAACAGGAAAGATGGGAAAGAACTGGACACATTCCAGGACCTAGAAGGAAGCAGTATGTAGATTAAGTAGCATGGGGAACACTTACAGAAGAGGTTGGAATGAAGCAGGAGCCAGACAGATCTGCCCCAAAATTGATTTGGCTTCTGATGGCCAAGTTTGTGTAAGCAGAAGCTAGATGACCCTTGCAAAGATCATTCATTCAAGAAATGAAGCGTAAAATAGGGTGGAAGGAGGGAAGGAAGATAAACACATGGTGTGTCAGGTCTCTTCCAGTGCTAAAGGTCTCTAATCCCATTATTCCAACAAATATCGAATGAAGCCATTTTAATTTCTTGGAGATTTTAAAGTCACCTATCTTCCTACACTGAGTTATGCATCCATTAAATCTTGAGGCTTTAAATGTTACAAACAACAAAAAATAAATACAATGGTATGAAGACAGGGGATGTATGATAGAGGTAGGGAGGGATAGATGATGTGGTATCATCATACCATTATACATTAAGTCTGTTAAGGTTACAGACTTTAGGTGAATGCTCTTAACTTGGGGTCCAAATTCCAACTGATAGACATATGACCAATAATATTGTAGTCTAGCAACTAAGAATAGGGGCTCTTGTTTCTTTACTGTTGTACACCCAGGCCAAGAACAATGGTGAGAGCACCTGACACTGTAACGAGTATTTGGTGCCTGAATGAATGAACGAATGAATGTTACTGCAATGGGGTGTACTGAAATCTGCCTGTTTGTTGTTGTGAAGGGATGATAGCTCCAACTTTATCCGTATGTTCCTAGCAATGCCAGAGAAAACAGAGAAATAATGAACTTATAAGCATCATCAGCCCATAAACTCTTCATTCCTAGGGAAAAAAATCAAGCTGTTTTTCTTCCTTTGTGTGTCCCTGAGGCTCAGCTCTGGTCATTTCTCTTTTTCTTCAAGGCTGCCTGTGATACTCATCTGACCTGATTTCTCCTGCACAGTGTTGCAATTGACCAGTAGCAGACTTGCCCTTGCCTGCATTTGAGGGGATGGCTGAGACTTTCCTTATAAAGAGCCCTACTTCCAGCATGAACACTAACCCAGTTTATTGGCTCAGAGTGCACAGAGTTGCCTTGTCATTGGCAAAGTCAGATGCAGCCAGTACCAGAGCTCTGCACTAGCTGTGAACAAGGAAGAACAGCTGAGTGAGGAAGCAGAGTGCCAGGCAGCACATCCTTCCGGAGCTGCTTCCTGCCCTGGGCCAGATCCTAGGCACTGCAGCAGTATCTCTGCATGATCCAGGGCTCCTGGAAATAGCCCATTAGGGGCAAAACTCACTGCCAAGAAAACATTAGAACATTAAAAGAGCAGGGACTCATCTGATCATCTGGGTTTCCTGAGGCTCACTCAGTCTGTGTCCACTGGTTTCAGTCTGAGTTCTCTGAACTTTGAGGATGCAAAGAGTGAAGTTCCCTCATGGTTACAGGGAAAGAGATCATAAGAATACTATGGAAAGAGGCCTGAAGTCAAAGCCAGCTAGTGGTTATTATTTATTAATTGCCTGTCAGGTGCCAGGCACACATATTAGACCATATGTGATTGCAGTGAGCCACCCAGATCCCCTTCAAGCTGTTGCTGCAACTGCTGAAAGTCCTATTGGCAGAAAGCCTTCTCTCAGCAGCCCCTTCAGGAATTGCCTCAGTTGCAGAGAGCTGCCTTCCCCAAGATCACGTCCTTCCCTGGGGGCTCACAACCAATGCCTGATCCAGGAGAATCTTTAAAGGCCATATCATTTCAGCCCAATTTAGGACAGCTTTGTTGAGCCTTGGACCTACATGCAGCTCAACTTCTCTTTCTACCCAGTTCTTCTTTCTTTCTTCCCTTCCCTTCCACAGGTGTCTGTTCCAAGCACTTGCCTTAATAAACGTGTTAGGTTAAACTCTGTCTCAATGTCTACTTCAAGGAGAACCTAACATTTGACAGTGATAATAGAGAAAAACAAACTTTTCTCTGCCTTACTTTTCCCCATCACTAAAAAGAATCTAGGACTTGCCCACTCAGTTTCTTCTCTTTCTCCACTCTCTGAAGATGGTCTCACCACTACCACAGACACAAAAAAAGAAGCATTTGGGAAAAGAGGGGGTGAAAGCATTTGGGGCACTGCAGGCCTATTGCTAGGTGAGTGAAGAATATCTGGAGGGTACAGGAAGCATGTATTGTATTGTTATAGTGACTTAACAAGCAGATGACTTGTTTTATTTTTCTTTTGTTTTAAATATTTTTTAGTATTTTAATCAATATTATTATTTTTATTGCATTTTAGGTTTTGGGGTACATGTGAAGAATAGGCAAGATTGTTGCATATGTACACACTTGGCAGTGTGACTTGCTGCCTTCCTCCCCATCACCTATATCTGGCATTTCTCCCCATGCTATCTCTTGTTTTAAAATTACTTTTCAATTGCTGGACTGTGTTCTTGGGACATGACACTATTCTTAACCTGGGCTATATGAGCCATGGCTTTAAAAGGATTACAATTATAATAACCTTCACATCACATGTTATTATTCTCATTTTATAGGTAAAGAAACTGAGGCTCAGACAGGCTGCATTCTAGGTTCCACTTTGCTTCTGTGTGACCTTGAGATATTTATTTAACTTTTGGACCTTTGTGACCAAAAGATGCCAAACACGCAAGGAAACGAACTAAATGTTGAAGTGCCTTCCAGTTTTAAGATTCCAAATTTTTTTTTTTTTTTTGCCAATCAGTTTGAGCTTATGAGGTTGCTCAGGTTAGCCTTGAACTGATGACCTCGCCTTCGCGAGCGCCATGACCTCCGGCGGGAGCCACTTTGGACCCCGAAGATTCCAAATTTTTTATAGAATTGATCATTTTAAAGTATTTTTTCCATATTAATTATGACATCATGATATGGCAATGCAAGGTATTACCAATTAATAAGGTAATTGCAAGATTAGTTTTATTACCCTAAGGTACACCTACATTGCATAGTTGGATTATCTTTAGTCACCTGTGAAATATGCAAGGATGTACTGTTTCCTCAATTTACATTTGGAGAAAGAAGGCTCAGAGAAATCAAGTTATTAGTGTGAAAATATTGCCACTTATATAAGATCCAGGACACAGGCTTGGATTTCCTCACATCTCTTCTAGTGCTTTTCCTATACTACTCCACGGATTCCTTTTAGCCTGATGTTCTTGTATTGTAATCTGTTACTATATAACAAATTACCATAAAACCTAGTTGCTTACAATAACCAGTATTTGCAAATTTCACACAGCTTCTGGGGGCACAGGGAGAGGCTTACCTGGGTGGTTCTGACTTCAGGTGTCTCATGAGGTTATAAGCAGGATGTTGTCTGGGGCTGCAGCTGTGAAAGTTTGCCTAGAACTGAAGGATCCTGTTCCAACATGGCACACTCTCCTGGTTATTGACTGAAGGCCTTTATTTCTCCCTGTCCAGAAGAATCTCCATAGGACTACTCAAGTGTGCTCTCAACATGGCAATTGATCTCTCCAAAAATGAGCAATTCAAGAGGAGAGAGAAGAAAGCTGCAGTGCCCTTTATGACCTGTCTCAGAATCACACATCAGCACTTTCTCCACATTCTACTCATTAGTCATGATTTGCTAAGTCCAACACACATTCAAGAAGAGTAGAATAAAGTTCCAAATCTTGAAAGGAATAATATCAAAATTTTTCTGAACTGTGTTAAAGCGACCACTCTTTAAAGCTCTGCTCTTCGGGTGGCTTAAAATTTTCATACTAAGGGTGGGAAGTGCTTTATTTTCCCCCAGGAAATTCAAACCAGAAGAGTGAACCAGGCTAGAAAAATTTTATTGCATAAGAACTTTATGCAGGTGTCACATTAGATAGCAGTTTACAGGTCTCTTTATTTCTTGGCTTCTTACAAAATTCAGACAAAGCCATAAAACTAATGCAAGGGTAGATGACATCTGCAGTTCTTGCCTTCTTACGATCCATTCCTCTTTCTTCTAATTTTACCTTGGGGAACCTCCATTCACTTCTCTTAGGCCATATGGAACTGATTATTTGAATCCACTTCGTTCAGTTCCTAAGACATGTGATGCAGGCCTGACCAATGAGCATATATTTCATTACCCTGGCCATAGTGGTTAATACTGGGACAGTTAGAGAAACTACACGAGTTCAATGAGAGTCCAAATTTTGTTGAAACTGTTGGGAGCAGTTTTCTTTCTGTAGGGTTTCTTGTGTTCCTTCTATCATATCAGGAGGGCTTTCCTGGGAATTATGTCAGCACAGAAAACAAATGGCACCAAGAAATAGAGAAAGGGAGAGAGACAGACAGAAAAAGACCGAGAGAGACAGAGAAAGAGTGTATGTGTTTGGAGGTATCACTCATCACATCTAGAAAATCTAACATGATGTAGGTGTGCTTTATTGCCAGAATTTTTAGGCCACAAGCCAATAACATTTCTACTTTGATTATTTTAGTGGCAATCAAAAATTCTAATATATTACTACAAGTAATAATATCTACCTCTTATTGAGTATTTATTACATATTAGGACATGTGCTAAGACCTTAATATCATCTTATTTCTTAAAATAATACAATAGAGAGACACTATTATTCTTCATTGGACATGAGGTTCGGAGAGGGTGAGAAACTTGTCATCAATTATCCTTCTAAGGAATAGATAAGTTGGAATAAGAACCAAGCCTTGTGTAGTTAGGCAGCCACACTCATCACTGTGCTGCCTTGCCCATATTTACTGGGGAATTTTCAAAAATATACTCATCCAATTATTTAGGTAAGAGTAGAGATTACTACCAATTACTCAGACCCTGGGCTTCTGCTAAACTTATATGCATTGTTGCATTCAATTCTCACGTTGACTTTAGGATGGAAATATTACCATGTTCATTTCACAGATGAAGAAACAGAGGGTCAGAATAGTTAGGCAGCTTGTCCAAGGTTACTGTTAGTAAGTGGCAAACTTGGGTTTTGACCCAGATATATCTGACAAGAGTCCACATATATTTACTTGAATTCCAGTCATGATTCAACTAATAGAGTACATGGTTATTTCAGAAGGAACATCAGGATATAGTTCAGAATGGGTTTTTAAAATATTTCCTTTCTGTTAGGATAACCAGCTTATCTCGATTTTCCCAGGACTTTCCCAGTTTTAAAACTGAAAGGCTGTTCACCCTACCTCCCACAGGTAGTGGCAAATGGAAGGACTATGACATTTGTCCGTTGTTGGTAGACATTTTGAAAAGAGAATTAGGGCCCAGAGACTGCTTCCCACCTAATCACAAGAGAACAGATCTCCTTTTAGGATTTGGGAAAGGCGAGAAACCAGGACAAGCCTGGCTGCCTTAATAGCTCATCTACAGGATGAGCTTAAAAGATTGAACCTGGGATGCTCCAGTGACGAAGATGCCCTGAACATCTGTTCCCATATTTCCTGAACCTAGAAGACATGCTTTAGTTAATCAGCACTTTCAGTCCCAGCAGGTGGTGGCCTTTGTTAGTACATGAACCTTGTGAAGTGGGAACTTTTCTTTAGAGTAGCTGTAGGTGATAGACAGGGTGCAGATCACAGAGCCAAAAGTCTTAGGTTTGTACCCAGCTCTGTCACTAACTGCTGTGTCACCTCTAAGCTTTGGTTCCCCTCATTCTTAAAAAAGATTGGATAATGAACCCCTTAGAGTTTTGTAGTGTAGATTAATGAGTTAACATGCAGTGATGTTTTGAATGCTATAATGTTTCTGAATACAATGGATTCTGCTAATGATCAATTTTAAAAAGCATATCTCTTTGAAATCAATACCTCTATAGCCGTGGTTTTTATTTATATGTTTTAATTATGCGCACTTCTGAAGGATTCCATCCATAGACTGCAAACTTACAAATAACTCTGTATGGTAGGAAGAATATCACCCCTCACAAATCTCCATGTCCTAATCCCTAAAACCTGTGATTATGTTAGGTGACTTGGCAAAGGAGAATTAAAGTTGCAGCCAGAATTAAAGTTGGTAATTAGCTGACAAGGGTCCTTTAACATGAAAGAGGCAGGTGAAAAAGTCAGTGTCAGAGTGATGTGGCATGAAAAGATATGTCTGGCCATTGCTGGCTTTGATGGTGGAGGAAGGGGTCATAGCCAAGGAACACAGGCAGTCTCTAGAACTGGAAACGGCTAAGAAGTGGAATCTCCTCTACAGGCTACAGAAGAAACGTAGCTCTGGCAACACCTTAATTTTAGCTCACTGAGACCTGTTGCAGCCTTCTGAACTCCAGAAATGTAGCATAATAAATTTGAGTCATTTTTAGTCACCAACTTTGTAATGATTTGTGATAGCAGCTACAGAAAACTAATACACTCTCTAATCAAAATAATCCACAAGAAATATATGTTGGATTGTCATGGGAAGTGAAGCAATCACTCATTGGGAGATAGAGTGTTTACTCATTCTTCTCTGGGCAGCCTGGGAGTGAGCTGTTAAAGAACTTAAGGCATGACGCTTGATGGATGCGTCTCCAGCATCTCTTCCAGACTACTGTGATCCACAGGGAGTCAGGGGTCAGGAAAACCTCTTTGAATTAAATTTTGGTAAAATCTGGCTGGGCATGGTGGCTCATCCCTCTAATCCCAGCACTTTGGGAGGCAGAGATGGGCAGATGAATTGAGGTCAGGAGTTCTAGACCAGCCTGGTGAATATGGTGAAACCCTGTCTCTACTAAAAATACAAAATTAGCCAGGCATGGTGGCACGTGCAGTAGTCCCAGCTACTCAGGAGGCTGAGGCAGAAGAATCACTTGAACCCAGGAAGCAGAGGCTACAGTGAGCCTAAATCATGCCACTGCACTCCAGCCTGGTTGACAGAGACTCCATCTCATAAATAAATAAATAAAGTTGGTAAAATCTTCACCCATTTCACTTCTAATGTATACTTCCAAACCCATCTAAACCAGTTCTGGCTCTTCTCTCTAAGTTAACTTTGATCAATGTTTGAGAATAAATGACAAGGTAGCTAGTGTTTCTTGTGAGGTAGTTTGAAATTCGGCATTTTTCCCATTTCTCGAAGGGAGAGGCAGTGTAGCAAAATAGCGAAAGGGTGCAATTTGAAATTCAACTGACCAGGGTGAAATTGTGCCCCCAATACTTACAAGCTGTGTGACCTCGCTCAAGTTACATAGCACCACCAAGAATGTTTTCCCAATGAAAATACTGGAGTGCTTAAAATACCTCCATGAAGATGGAGGGAAATTAAACAAATAAGTAAAGGGCTTTTCATGATGCCTGCCTCATGGTAAATTCTCCAGAAATATTAACTATTTTGCTACTGCCCATTTCTAATGTGAAGGATTAGAAAAGGAAATTAAGAAGGAAAGAATGAAAGAACCCCACTATGCTAAATGTCCTGTAAGAAAATGGGGACAGCAGGATAGTAAGAGACTGAAAGTGAAACCCAGAAAATGAAGAGGAGTAGGCAAATACCAACTTTGGTGCTGGCAAATCTTTTCAATGTGGCCGACTCAATCCTTATGAAAGGGTTGCTCACTCTGCCAGTCTTTCCAGGCATATTAAAACCTGTGTTTAAAAAAAGGCCAACTACATGTTTGTGTCTAGCAAGTAATCATTAAAATTCATTTGCAGTCCTGGGTGCTAGTTTCTCACTGAATGTCTTTATGCCATTAAGAGGATTCAAGCGTTCTATCAGGGTTTATGTAATTTAGTGGGCAGGGCGAGGGCTTTGGAGTTACACAGACCTCACTTCAGATCCTGGCTCTGCTACTTTCCAACAGCCCCTCCTCTTGTCTATGAAATGGAGATAATGTTACCCATTTTCCAGAAATCTTTTCAGGATTAAATGCGACACACAGGTGAGGGGCTTGCACAATGCCAGGAGTGCTTGCCATAGTAGTAGTTATGTATTATTGGTATGTATTATTTGGGATCGAAAGCCTTGATTCTAGTATTGGCTATATTACTTAGTACAACCTGGGGGAAATCCTAAAGCAATTCCGAGGTTGTCATCCTCTGTACAAATAAGATAATGAAAAGTGGTACTTTATGAGACTTTTTTGTGTCAGATGAGGCAATGCTTAGATATAAAAGTCTTATGTTTTGAGTTAATTGAAATATAAATTTTCCTACTTGTGCAAAAGGCCTATTGTCCCCATTTATCCCTCCTGTTACCCTGTCTCAGTGGCTGGCACACCCACCACTGACTTGTTTTAAGGTGGTGAAATTCTAGCATTTCAAGTCTCATGGATAATGCTTCATGTGGTTGAGTTCCATAGACACAGGTGAGGAAGTGATAGAAGTGTAGGTAGAGGGTAAAGTGAACAGACAATCAATATCCTCCTCTGTAACATGTAGGACTAAATTTCTGGATTCTAGCAGTAGAGCAGGGGCCATTAGCATAAGGAATATAAAGGCCTGAGTACACAAGGAACTACCAGGAATAACCTCGTGTGTCTAGTACTACGTCATTTAGTTTGCCCAAATA